TTTTGATTTTTCGTTACCATAGTCATTGGTCATTATCACTACAGAGTCATCATTCTCTCATCTTCTAGAGCCACTCATCCCTGTCAGTATAGAGTCACCGGTCTCTTTTCCTTTGTAGGTTTATGTTTGTCGCCCTCATTCTTATCCCCTACTGATGTCTCTTCTACCTCAGGCGATACAGGTATACTTCTCAATTTGTTGAGTATATTGATGCACCTATTGTTAGTATTGATGAGATTGCATGTACTGAGCTAGTTACTTTTCCTGGTGAGACATTGTCAATTGAGGATGATGATTTAGGGAGTCGTTATCGTCGGCGTGATCGGCGTCTAGTTGTTTGTTATGGTGGGACCACCAGGACTTTATATTTGATCTCTGCTTATATTTCTTATAGTGATCTGTTTTTAACATTTTGAGCTTATAGTATAGCATTATTAGATACACCGATTCCTTGCTTTGTTTCAGAGGTTATGCAGAAGCCCCAATGGGTTGCCATGCAAATAGAGATATACGCTCTTCAGCGTAATCATACATGAGATCTTATCTCTTTACCTTCAGGGGTGAAGCTTGTTAGCTGTCGCTGAGTTTACACCCTGAAATTTTTTGCGGATGGTACTATTGATTGTCATAAGGCTAGACTTACAACGAAAAGCTTTACTTAGGTACCAAGTCATGATTTTGGTGCTACCTTTATCCCCATGGTAAAATTGACTATTATTTGGTTGATTATTTCTCTGGATGCAGAGTACTCTTAGTCTCTTCATCAGTTAGATTTGAAGAATACATTTTTTCATGGTGATCTAGTCGAGATTATTTATATGGATACACCACTAGGTTTTCATGGTGAGGGAAAGTATGTTAGAAAGGTATGTTGACTGCGTAAATCTCTCAATGGACTGAAACAGTCACCACGAGTCTGGTTCTCTCAGTTTAGTGGTGTAGTTATACGTTTAGAGTTCACTAGATATCATTCTGATCATACATGCTTTATTCGACAGAGTACTTCTGGGCAGTGTGCCATCCTTTTTGTATATGTGGATGATATTATTATTACTAGAGATGATATTTTTGGGTCAAGGTAGACCTTGGGAGGCATTCGATTTGAAGGATCTTGAATATCTGCGATACTTTCTTGGGATTGAGGTTGCCCGTAGCAACAAGGGTATTGTTCTTTTTAGAGAAAGTATGTTCTAGACCTTCTAACAAACATTGGGATACTGGGGTGTAAACTGACATCATCACCCACGATTCCAAACCTAAAGCTTACTGCTGAAGGTGAGGAGTTGAATGATCCGACTGTTTATCAAAGGTTGATCGGTTGACTAATCTACCTAGCCAACACTTTGCTAGACATTTCATTCATTGTCAGCCGAGTTAGTAAGTTCATGCATAGGCCGTGTCAGCCTCATCTTGATACAGTTTATCATATCCTTCGATACCTCAAGTCTTGTCTTAGACTTGGGTTGTTCTACGTATCAGGATCTCAGACTGGTTTTTTAACATGTTATTCAGATTCAGATTATGGGGGAGCGTGTGACGGTTGATCTACTATGGACTTCAATGCTTTTTGAGGGGCTCATCTTATCTCTTAGAAAAGCAAGAAGCAGTCAGTTGTCTCTCGCTCGTCAGCAGAGGCAGAGTATCAGATACTAGCACTTGACACATGCGAGATTATTTAGCTACGATCGATTCTTGACGAGTTAAAATTTCTAGTGACTTTTTCATCTACATTATATTATGATAATCGATCTACTAGTCAGTTTACTTTTGACTCTATACTACACCAGAGAATGAAGTATATAGAGATCGATGTTCACTTTCTTCGAGAGAAGATTAGCTGTGGTATTGTCACTCTATTGTTTGTGAGAACTAGTGATCAGGTTGTAGATGTTTTTACCAAACTTATTACTCTATCCATTTTGTGGGACTCTGTTGTCAAGCTTGACTTAGTTGATATTTTTGTGCCTAGCTTGAGGGGGAGTGTTAGAATATAGTTTAGTTTATTAGGGTTTCTTTTTTTCTTTTTTACCCTTACTATGACTTTTATATTTTGCCTAGACTACAAGGATGTTTAGGTCACTTTGTAATATTATTTGACTATATATACAAGACTCTATTCTTAGTTTGAGTATCCCTTTTTACTCACCAATAAATCAAGTGTTCCTAATAATTTAGAGGGCGCACTGAATGATTCCCAGTGAAAGGAATCAATGTGTGAAGAGATGAATGCACTTCATAAAAATAATATGTGGGAACTACTTGATTTACCTGAAAGGAAAACACCATTTGAGTGAAAATAGGTATTTATAGTGAAACATAAGACTGATGACTTGGTTGAAAGATGCAAGGTTGGATTGGTCACCAAGGGATTTACACAGACTTATGGGATTGATTATCAAGAAACATTTGCCCCGATGACAAAGATGAATTTCGTTCATTTCTTACTTTTCCTAACTACAAATTAAGGTTGGCCTCTTCAACGGCCTGATGGGAGAAAATGCATTTCTATAGGGAGACCTGGAAGAGGAAGTGTACATGGATGTTCCTCTTGGCTTTGAACTCCCCACAGATGCTACCAAGGTATGCAAATTGAAAAGATCATTGTATGGGTTAAAGTAGTCTCCAAGAGCATGGTTCGAGAGATTCACCTAAGCTACGTTGAGGTATGTCTATTATCAGTGTCATGGTGATCATATTTTGTTTGTTAAACATTTTTCCCATGGAAATGTGACTACACCCATCGTGTATGTTGATGATATTGTACTTACCGGTGATGATGTAGTGGAGATGGTGAAATTAAAGACATATTTGACTCAAGAATGTGAGATAAAAGATTTGGGAAGTTTGAAGCATTTCTTAGACATTGAAGTTGCGAGACTAGATGAGACATATTCATTTCACAATGAAAGTATGTGCTTGATCTACTTAAGGAGATAGGTATATTAGGGTGCAAGCCAGTTGATATTCCGATTGATCAGAATCATAAGTTGGGAGAGAGTGTTGATGATACTCATGAAGGTCAATACCAAAGACTAGTGATCAAGCTTATATTTCTGTCTTATACATGTTCAAATATAGCCTATGTAGTCAATGTATTAAGTCAGTGTTTTTTTTATATGTGTATAGGTTCTAGTAGCAGAGAACTTAGCTAGAAGTTTTAGCTTTTTTTTTTTTTTTGGGTCAAGGGAAGTTTTAGCTCAAGGCTTTAACTTCCTTCTGAATTCTATGCCATTGAAGCATGATGTTTTTGTTAATTTCTCCTCACAGGGAATGCCTTTTGCACATTATTATTGTCTCATAATACAATCAATAGAACTATATATATTTTTACTTTTCGGGATATTAACAAAACTCAGTAAGAGGCAATGGCTGCTTCATTGGCAGTCAGGTTAGCAAGTGAAGAGGGTTATGCAAAGCTAATATTAGAAGGAGATTCGAAAGGGATTATCGATGCTCTAAGGAACGATATGGCAGACCTCTCCGAAGTTGGCCTGTTCATGGACCAAATCAAAGATTGCAGTGGCAGATTTAATGAATTTTCGTTTCTTGGATCTGTTGGAGTGGAAATGAAGTTGCTCACGAATTAGCTAAATATGCATTCTGTTTATGAAGACAGGAATGCCCATCATTTTTATCACATTCCCTCCAAGTTAATGGACCTACTTTCAATCAATAAAATCGTATTATCATTTTCTATCAAAAAAAAAAAAAAATCTTTATAAAGACCCGGTCCTCACTAAGTGATGAAAGTTGATATTAATTGCCAGCGATATCAAATTAGTTCCATCCCAAAATCAAATTACTGGATATAAATTCAGTAATGTTGTTTTTTTCATAGTCTATTTTAATTGCAATAGTCCAATCTCCCATTCACATCAAACCCACAGATTAAGACCCGCATTCAAACATGTTCTATGATTGAATTTTGAATTTTGTCAATCCGAAATTGAAATTATGAAATAAATTTATTGGGGTCCATTAACTGCCAAAATCAATGAAAACCCACTTATGGAATCAAAGTATTTTTATTTTCCCATTATTTCAGAAAAGTTTCATTTCATTTGGGTTAACTATATTTTGATCCCTCAACTATGACCATTTTCTCACATTGCCCCCCTCAACTACCATGTTTCTTACATTTCACCGTCAATTATATTACTAGTTTCATATTACTCCAATTATTAACGTCCATTGTAAATTCAAGAAAAAATTGTTTCATTTTACTTCCTAAATTAAGTTTTTTTAAGCACATTGACATAGTTTTTGTCCAAAAGATAACAAGTGTTTATATTTTGCGTAGTGTGAAATTAATCCAAGTAATTGAGGGAATAATACTATTTGAATAAAAAAAAAATTGATTTGTTAATTTAATGAAGGGGCAGTTATGACGATAACTGTTACAGTAATGCTACTGTTAATTAAAATTTTATCACTTAAAGGATCATTATGTCAACAAATTTCATTAATTTTTTAGGTTACAACATTCAAATTAAGACCAAAAGACAAATCCTTGTTGAAATACAAATTCTAGTTTCCTTATGTGATTGTGATTGTGATTAGCTCTCTGGTCTCCTTCTTTTACCACAACTACAACTTCTTTTTTAGACTTTCGTTCAGGTTTTTCCTTCTCTCTAGCACCCTTATACATATATATACTTTGGACTACGTCTTTCTCTTGCTTTGTTCTCGTTCATTGTTTTAGGGTTTTATACTCTCCCCATCTCTCTCTCACTCTAGATTTCTTTTACGTTGTTTATTCAAGATTTTGAAGAAGGCAGAGAATTTTCATGAAGCAAAGATGGTGTCGTGTGATTTCAAGTTATTGAAGATGAACTTCTTGGGTCGTCGATTCAAGTTTTGTTCAGCCATTGATTCGTTCTCTATTGCCATCGAAGCATTCTCTGAACACTAAACAACGTAATTGTCTGGTTTTTGATTTCTTCTTCACTTCTGCTCTCTATTGTCTGGATTGAAAATCGAAATCTTTGTCGTTGCATGGGATGGATTCTGCTGTGTTAAAGGTGAAACCAAAATCAAAATCAAGGTTTGTGGAGGTAATCGATATTGTAGAGAAATCACCATGCGGTCGATACACAAGGAGCAGCGAAATCTTGGGTTCAGGAGCATTCAAGGACGTGTACAAAGGGTTTGATCAAGTTCATGGAATAGAGATTGCTTGGAATCAGATTTGCATAGATCGAGACGATGCTTTCCGGTCTCCGGAAAATCAAGAACGTTTATGCTTGGAGGCTCTCTTGTTACAAACGTTGAAACATGAGAATATAATGAATTGTTACTGCTATTGGGTCGATGATAAAACCAATACTATAAACATAATCACCGAGTTCTGTAGTTCTGGGAGCTTGAGGCAGTACAGTAAAAAGAATCAGACTAGTGTTGATATGAAGGCCATCAAGAACTGGGCCATTCAGATTCTTCAAGGTTTACACTATCTCCATACTCGCAATCCTCCTGTCATTCACAGAGACATAAAGTCCGATAACATTTTGGTCAATGGGGAAAACGGAGGAGAGGTTAAAATCGGAGATTTTGGGTTGGCCACCGTCATGCAGGACGGTCCGGCGCAAACGGTCGTTGGAACGCCGCAGTTCATGGCGCCGGAGTTTTACGACGAGGAATACAATGAACTTGTGGACATATATGCTTTTGGGATGTGCATGTTGGAGTTGATTAGTGGTGAGTACCCTTATAGTGAATGTGAAAATCAGTTACAGATATACAAGAAAGTTGTATCTGGTATAAAACCTGTTTGCTTTGAAAAAGTTGAGGATACCCAAGTGAAGGAGTTCATAGAGAAGTGTTTGGTTGATGCATCTGAGAGATTATCTGCAGTGGAGCTCTTGAAAGATCCGTTTCTTTCATCTGAAAATTTGGATGGGTATTTACTTGAATCTTTGGAGATACCCTCAAGTGATAAGCCCAGTCTTAATTCTCTAATCTCCATGGTCATAGACCCCAGCTCATGCGAGGATTGTTCTAAAGTTCACAATGACTTAAACTCATTGTGTCGTTCTGAACATGGCGGTGAAGATATGGGTGTTTTCAAGGATTTGAAGGTCTGTTTTGATGATTCATGTGGTGCCATATCTAAACGCCTGAGCTTGAGGGTGTCTTGTTTATCAGTGGAGGAGAGTGAAGATGAAGATGAGTGCTATGGCTTGAAGATGGAGCTTGATGCTATGGATATGCAGAATCTGTACCCGCATAGGAAATTGTATGGTATGCTCGCAAAGCTAGTTTATTGAGCTGTGAGTCTTATTTTTAATTTTAGATTATGTAACACAATGCTATTATTGAATCATCAATGAGCCTATACATTGGATGGGTTTATTATCAATATGATAATATCAATGCATTAGATTCCCAAATCTAAGATAAAATAAAAGGTTGATAGCACTTTTCATTTTTAAATTATGCATTTTTTGTTAATTTAGTTTTCAATATATCAAATTTGTCAATTTGATCTCTAAAATATTCAATTTGTGTCATTTTGGTCCTTATATGGATGGACAAAAACGTTTTTTTTACAGAATTGGTCACGTGTCATTTTTTAAACAGTATCACGTACTCAATCCGTAATCATTCCATCAAAAATTTAATGGTCCATCTATATAAAGATAAAAATGACACGAATTAAATATTTAATAGACCAAATTAATACATTAAAAACTAAACTGACAAAAAATAACATTTTAGAAACCAAAAGTTCTATTAACCTAAAATAAAAAAAAATTCCACGTGATTTCAAGAAAATGTCTCATTAATCCTGGTAGGACATCTAGATATAGGTCGGATCCATTATTTAAGAGCAATGTTATGGGGACCTAATTTACTGACTTAATTCACTATGATTTTTGAATTCACTGTGGAGCTCATCAAACATTAAAACTTGCTATTGATCCAATGGTTTCAATGTAGCCACATCATTAAGTCAACAAATTATGTCAAATTTTTAGATCCAAATAGCATTAGTCATTACTTAATAATGAGTCAAGACTAATATATATCAAAAAAACAAAAAAAAGGGAATATGGTACTTCATGATGTACACACCCTCCCTTATATATATATATATATTAGTGATACTTGGTGACTGAAATCATTGTATATTAAGCTATGCCTGTATTAGAATATGTGTACAATTAAAGTGTGTATATAATGAAGTGTGTTGCGTGGGTGGAAAAAATGTGTGATGAGTCTTTGGCATAAATTTAAAAACCCAGTGACGTTATTATATTGATAAATGCAACTGATAATGCTTTTTGAATTGCTAGTAAATCAACATGTGTTTCTGTACATGAGGTCAGGTCCAAGGATAAGAAAAGACGTAGAGAAGAAAGTGAACACTTATAAAATATTGTTAGGCGTCTCACCATGTCTTTATCTAACAACCCTTTTCATTGCTTTACTTTGGATCTTACAAAATATGTTTATCCCCCACAACAATTCCAAATCCGACGACTGAAGGAAAAGCAGTATGATAAATGGCTACCCGACTTCATAAAATTTTGTCATGTCTACGATAAACTTAAATTGTAAGAAAGGACATGTACTTATGTACATTCTATGGCACCAACATCCCGTTTCGAAATGCCTCCAGTCCAGCCAATCAACTCCCAGAGTTTGTTCATTTTGTAAAACGATGTGATGTGCATTTTGTTTGTCTTTCCCTCAAAAGAACCGAGCAAATAGAATCTACATCACCCCTATTACACTCTGATGATTTGAAGAAACACGTATGATATCAACAGCTTGTAGATTGATAGTATGCAAAGATTCATAAATATACGTGCCACATCCAAAAAGCAGAACACACAATGAGAATCTCCCTCATTACTATCTTGTTTAACACACATCGTTTTTTTTTAAAAATTCTGACAAATTGACGAATGACAACAATTCTTAGAAATATACAACATGCACTACACGTAGTGTGTCTGCTGCCATGTCAAAGCTTTGATATGGATTTGTGGTGCTGCTTTACCTATTGAACATTACCCTGCCTCCTTATCAAGGGGGGAGGGGTTGGTAATTTAAAGCCCATCCAAATATAAGCATTTCTTGCCACTCCATGTTTTTGGTAGTTCATACATTACACAACACCATAAATGCCAAATGCACCTCAAAGTGTTCATGGATGGCATAAAGCAATAATATAATCCTAAAAGCTCTTAATATAAACAACTAAGTTGGGCCAATCCATATAGTTTGCCCTCATTATTTCTCAATTTATTGGAAAAACCTTTCCCATGGCTGCTGAGATTCAAATAAAATTCTTCTCCTTCAAGCTATCCACAGTTTCCTTGATGCTATCCTCAAGGGAGGTGAAGTTAATACCCAAGCTTTTTGCTCTTTCTTTGGAGACTTGGTATGTTGGCACGAAAGGCTTGTCATCCGCACACCTGCAGAAGTTTCCCCACCCAAAAAAATTAATCAATTCTACAACCGAATCAAGATTCAGTACTGACCATAAAACCAAACTCAAAGTTGCCATCATGGTTTTTAGCTGCACTTTTAGATTATATCCTGAACTTGGTGATCCATTGGAGGGCATCTCAAACACGTACTATGAAGATTAAATACCATAACATCAATCATAAGAAGCAAAGTAAGCAGTATGTATCATAGACAAAAGGAACTTGGTAGGAAAAGCATGCTAAAACACTCTTTAAGAAACCTTCAATTGCATCATTTAAATCCAATTTCCAATACCAATAATCAAGGATCATTTCACTTTGACACAAATTGGCCCTAACCCTTTCGTTTAATCCATGCAGCTTTTGATTATTGAATCTTATTGATGGGGAAACCAAAGGTAGCTATCGCGATGAATTGCAACAATCTGTGCCTTCTTCTGGGGGAAGCATGCATGCAAGTGCAGGAAGGAAGCTTCTACACAGCAAACAATGAATCTATAGGGCCCATGCCTTGTTAGGCGACCCATGCTTCATCCAAACAGATGCAGCAATCCTAGGTGGAACAAAATCTAGTTTACTCCCCCTCTCATTTGGCTTGTAACACCACATCTTTATGATCCAAACATGGAAAACTTCACTTGTCAGATTACCCCCTATGCACATAACCCACTGACATTTAAAAATGTCCACATAAATCTTCATGCGGTTTGTGGACAGAATTGAACAGTTGATATTTCCATTCAAGTTAACTGTAGCTGTGATATGTGCACCTAGTTTGTGACAGATGTATAAAATTATTTGTAGAGACAAAAAAGCCCTTATAAATTTTTTGACATTGCAAAAAATGTCATGTCCTTCACTCGTTCATCTGAACCAAAACCGACCCATGCATCTACTTCTCTTCTAAACCTTCGCACTGTTACACCCAAAATTCATTTTCAACAGTATCAACACTCACCCACATATCTCTGTAATTCTGCATTTCTTCTATCCTTTTTAATCTTATTTTACATATTTCTTAGGGTGGTTGTGGAAAATGCCCAAGTTCCCAGCATCATTTGATCAACTGTTGTTGCTTGCTATTATTGGCTTGGACTTGCACGAGGAGTAGGAAGAGGACGGTAATCTTATCGGCTAAAAAAAAGAAAATCTATACAACCCGAATAGAATTGAAGGGGCATTTTCCATTAACGGATTAGAGGCAAGTGAAACTCTAATACTAATAATATGCAAGAAGAAGATAGCGGTCGAAATAAGAAGAAGAAGAATGATAGCCAAAGCAACAACGGAAAAAATCGATACCAATTTATTGTTGATTATTCGGTGGTCGGAGATGATATGTCTTTGGTGTAACTATGGTGGTGGTGTGGGGGAATTTTTTTTTTTTTTTGGGGGGGGGGAGGAAATAACCGCATAACCCCAAGTGGTTTTGGAGTAAACTGCTACAGTGAAAAAATCCATTGAAATTGGTAGAATTTGTGACACGTGCCTAATTTGAGAATTGACATGCAAAAATTGAATTGAAAGTCAAAATTTAGAGAAATATTAGCAAAAAGATGGAAAAGCAACTCTTGTCATCTTCTTCATCACCGGCAGCCCTTGTCCAAACCCCGACAAATCCACCGTCCACAACCACCCCCAGGCCACACCACCAACCATGGCCTCCTCTTCAACATACATCCAACCCACTTGGGCGACCTCCAGTTGAATCTCCCTCATCAACATCGAAATATAAGACAACTTTCTTAGGCCACCGCCTCTGGTGAAAAAAAAGAAGTAAACTATCCTTCTCCACCTCCTATTTTGTCTAAATTAGAAATAACCTTTATACCAGACAAATGGAGTCCAAGCATGACCACCCCTATCTTCTTCAACTTCTTCCCCCTTTGGCAAAATTCCCACCCCACCCCACAGCCACCATCTACTTCTTCTCTTCTAAAACAGTTATTTCATGTGAAATAAAGAGAATTTGTACCATTCTCCTCTAACCAGAAATATTTCTTCCTTGGTGAAACCAGATTGGTGGGAAGTGGCTAATCCATCTTTGTTTAGATTTCAAATTTGTATTATTCTCTTCATTATCTGTTTGATTAGGCAAGGTGGAGTTCATGGAGGTGGTCCTAAGCTCACGGTGGAGTTGTGTATCAATGGCCTAGGCGTCGTTGTGTCGTGATGGTAATTGTTGATGGTGTGGAGTTTGTTATCTGGAGATCTCAAATTTGCCTTCAACTAGTTATCATTCCTGTTGAAAATTTTCTCTATATGGAATTGGTTGGGGAGAAAATATTGGAGTAATAACGGTTGGATTGTTTGTCATTGTCCCACTGTGTTCAGCGGTTGAGTTGTAATCATATAGATTGTGGTGCTGGGTGATTGGAAGTGGTGGCTTTGGTGTGGCACCAGTTTAGGGCTCAAAGTATCGGCTGAGTCGTATCTGACTCAACCCTCTCTGATCCGATACCAGTACATGATAAACAAAACTTACGAGCCTTAATTGAATCGGACTTGAATCGATTACGAATCAAGCAACTTCGCTAGACTCGGAATCATTTCGCCGAAATCAGACGATTTGTAACCAAGTCAAACCGATACATGGTAGAATTGACCACAAAACACAAAAAGCAGAAAGACGCATAGAGAGAGAGAGAGAGAGAGAGAGAGGAAGAGCATGAGGCCCACACTTGGATTCACCAAGTTCATGCAAGTTTTGAACCCTAAACACACTGTTTTTGCAATTGTACAAACATTAGATCGAATTGGATGATTTAATACACAAAAATCTGTACATTCAAACTCGAAGGTATTGCAATGAATACAAAATACAGAATACTAGGAGTCCCTTCTTCGTCTTTATGCAGATGTCAAGGTTCCGCAAGCCAAACGTCGTCGTATCATCTGTTTGTCTGCAACTCCATCTCTCTGATTGAATTGAAGAGAAGAGACGATCCTCTCATTTCTCCTCTCTCTCTCTCTCTCTCTCTCTCTAAAACCAATGGGTAAAAAAGTTCAAAAGAGTTTATCTATATTCTAAGAGTTAGTGGGTTTATGTGAAGTGTTTGGTGCTAAATAAACCAAACCAAGCTTTATGTCTCAATCATTTGAGGTCGGCTTGTTTGGTGCTAAATGTACTGTTATAATATATTTTAATAGGAAATAGTATATATCTTTTTAAGAGTTAAATATGTTAAGCCATCTTTTTAACATACAATTGAACATATGATACTTAGACATACGTATCAATTGGCCAAACAAATAAACATAATTTTTTTTTAATTTTTATTTTTTAAAATTCTTAAAATTAAATATTAAAGTTACATCATAAGATATTTAGATTCAAAATATTTTTAAATTTTTATGATAATCATATTTTTGATACGACCCTTATATTTTATTCTTAGTATTTTTAATGTACTAGATGACATTTTTTTAGACATGATATATGGATTTGGATGTCCCCATATTCTAGAAATTTTCATTCTTTTTTTAAAGTTTGTTAAGACTTCTATATATCATTTTGTGTGTCGGCCGATACCTATCCACAACGTCGCGACCTATATATTACAATACTTACTGAGTTGATGACCAATATCGTGACCTTGAACCATGTGCATTGATGTCGTAATGAGAGATGCATGTAGAACTAGAGGAGATAGAGAGAATCAACTATTGACAGTGCTAATTATTCAAAATGATCCAAAACCACAGGGTAAAAGAGAATTTGCCCTAATTTAATTTAGAACCTATGACATTTTATTTTCTTGATTTAAGAATGTAAATGTTGTTCTCATTAATGTAGTTGCGTAGTGAGAATTTAAACATTATTCTCACTAATCATCCCATTGCATATAAGATATATTTATAGTTCTCCAAGAGTAAAGTTAGACCTCTCTAGATTTTACTCAGCGAGATTAGATTCTATATATATAAAGCAGAACCTATACATAGATCCAAAATACAAATCAGCACTTGTAAACAATGGCTCAACTCTAGAAATTTAAAATAAATCAAATGAACTTACTTTTCTGGAAGTTGAAAAGAAGGATACAACTTATGTAATATCTTCACAATTTCTGAATAATGTGCAACTTTCTCGACCAAACAATATCTTCCACTTGCCGAAGGAACTTCAAATGCCTGAATATGTGCATTAGCAACATCTTTGACATTAACCCACCCAAAGCTAGCATTTGGATAGGTTTGTGCTCCTGGATTTAGTAGGCAAGAGAATAAACAACACAATATATTTCCTAGTTATGAAAGCATAACGAATTCGTTAGATGTTTTTTTAAACTTTGAATGCAAAGTGAAAAGAGAAAATGGTATTACTACTACAGCAGTCCCGTTATAACCACCTTAACCTGAGATACACAATAGGGATCCTTGCATAATACGGCAATAAAAAAAAATTAAATTACCCCTAATGTTCATATGCTACAATACTCAACCCCCACCCCCCTCTCAAACTCATAATGTGTTGGCAGACAATATCAAAAGTTTGTCAAAAAGAAAATGAAAATGCACTATGGTGTGAGAGATGATGCCCAACTGAAAATAATGGCGCATAAAATGGAGGTCAATTTCAATGTGGTTTGTCTGCTCATGGAAGATCGAATTTTAAGCAATCTGAATAACACTGGTGATGTCGCAATACATAGAGGTAGGAGTACATAAAGAGATGTCAATGTCAGCAAGCAGTCATCGAACCAGACTATCTCAATTGTAGTAGATGCCATAACACTGTACTCATCTTCAGTCGAATAACGAGCAACAACAGTTTGCTTCTTACTTTTCCAAGTAATGAAAGAATTATTGAGAAAAAGACAAAAAAAGTAGTAAACTTGAGATCTACTGAGTCACCAGCCTAACCAACATTTGAGTAAGCTTTGAGTTCCATAAATGAGGAAGAATATACTAGACTCTAATGCAAAGTACCTCTAAAATACCTAATAATACAAAGTAAAACAGCCCAACAAATAGTGGTAGGCGAGACAACAAATTGACTAACAAATGAACAATATAAGGTGATATATGGGTGAATTATTGTAAGATATACTAGATTTCCAACAATAGTGCGATAAAGGGTAGGATTAGATAAGAGAATACCACAAAAGGAAGAATAACAAACATTGAGCTCTAAGGGTGTCTCGACTATCCGATTATCTAATAAACGAGTTTGCTAAATAACATCTAATGCATAGTTAAATTTAGAGAGGAGAAAACCTTTAAAACAGGAAACAACCTACATCGCCAAGAAATACCCAAGCTAGTCCAAATCTTCCATCCCAAAATGATCTTATAATTGATTTTTCAATGGCTATATGCCAGCAATGTCATCACTTGGACATCAACATAATGTAAGAGAACAATAGAACTGAAAGAAGTGAACCGTAAAAACAAGAGAAAAATCATGATCACTAGCATGAAAACCCAAGCCATAGATAACTAAAGAAAACTTGGCAGACCATGCACCCCAACCTATTTAAGACCATGTGATACCTTTTGGAGTTTGCACACCTGACCAAAACTATGAGGTAATTCAAAAAGAGCCATAAAAACTTTCTTCGATCAAATGCTCCATTGAGAAAGACATTTTTTTACATCCAACTGAGAGCGACTCCATTGATGAATAACAATCACTGCAATCACAGTACAAATAGTGGTCAACTTAACAATAGAAGCAAATGTCGTACTCTTGAGCAAATCCCTTGACTATCGATCGTGTCTTATATCGTTCCATAGAACAATCACTTTTGGTCTTAATTTTATAAACTCACTTACAACCAACCGTGCGCTTCTCAAAGGGTAATGACACCAACTCCCAGGTGTCACCCTTATGTAAAGCAGCAAGTTCCTCATCCACATCTTGTTTACAAAGAGGATTAAGAAAAACCTCCTTATAAGGAGTAGGATCAGAAAAAGAGTGTATAGAAGCTAAGAAAGAACAAAAATTAATAGAATAACAAAGATTAGAGAAATCAATCCGATCTGAATATTTATAAGGTCGCTGAGGAATGTAATCCACATTGTCAAAACCTAACTGAGTGATAGTAAAGGAGGGAGGCACCGTACTTGTAGAATAGGCAGTTGGAGTCCTACGAGCATAAGCATGTACAATAGGGGGACAATTAACTAGGAAATTAGAAGTGCAAGGCACATCAGATACAATCATATCACCTATCACCTATATAAGTGTCAAAAGGAACATTGCCGAAAAATGGTCAATGTAAACAAGATCAGATTTATGCAAATTTGAAGAACTAGATGGAATAGAAAAGAGGGGAATATATTTCAGGAGAACAACATAAAAAGAGACATAGATTATCCGTAACAAGATTATATACCCTTTTTTACCCTCAATATAATGAGGAAAACACAGAGAGCTGAACACGCAGAAAGTTTAGTATGAAGAGCACTTGAAAACACGACAAAACAAGTGCATCCAAACACACGTAAAAAGAATTAATTAGGTGGCTTACCATACAATTTTTCAAAGGGAGAGATTTCATAGGTGATGACAGTGAAAATGCAATTAATTAGATGAACTATAGGAAGAGTGTGTTGTTTGTATAATATGATGGTGTTTACGCTCTGCTACACCATTTCATTCAGGTGACTCGGAATAGGAAGATTGACAAATAATACCATCATATTTTAACAGATCAAAAAGAAATTGAAGAATATTCTCCTCCTTTGTCACGTAGAAAACATTTAATAATAGAGGAATATTAAGTATGTATCATAGCATGAAAAGCAATGAATACATAAATGAATTCAAAACAATGCTTCATTAGATAGACCCAACAATACCTAATATAATCATCAATGAATGAAACATAATATTTGGACCCCTCCTTTAGTAGGAATAGAAATAAGTCACCATACATCAAAATGAACCAAATTAAAAGGTGCAATAGAGCTAGTAGTACTTTTATTAAAAGGCAATGTTGTAAATTTGGCTAACTTGCAACTACTACAATTGGAGATATCATGGCACTCTAAATTACCAAAACTACCAATAAATGCCAAAAATTTTAAATGAGAATGAGAAACATGATAAAAACGAGAATGCCACAAATAAAAACTCAAAGACTGTGAACTCAAATGAAAAGCGGATAAATCAATAATAGAAGCAACAATATAAACTCGTCCAACACACATAATCCTCCCTTTCTACTGCCAGCCTCCTTTGGTAGGAATAGAAATAAGTTCCCATACATCAAAATGAACCAAATTAAAAGGTGCAATAGAGCCAGTAGTACTTTTATTAAAAGGCAATGTTGTAAATTTAACTAACTTGCAACTACTACAATTGGAGATATCATGACACTCTAAACTTACCAAAATTATCAATAAATGCCAAGAATTTCAAATGAGAATGAGAAACATGATAAAAACGAGAATGCCACAAATAAAAACTTAAAGACTATGAACTCAAATGAAAAGCGGATAAATCAATAATATAAGCAACAATATAAACTCGTCCAACACACATAATACTCCCTTTCTATTGCCTACCTCAATCAATTTCTTAGAATATGAATCCTACACAATACAACCGGAAGAAGAAAAGTGAATTGAAAATCTAGAATCAAAAAACTAACTAAAATCAAACTCAAGTTAAGCTATGGAATAATATAAACATCAGGAAGTGTTAGTTGTAAAAAAATAATAGACCTAACACCACCCAAGTGCATTTGAGTATTGTTGGCTGCAAGAACAGATACTAATGGAGGAGGGAAGATAGATGCAAATAAAAAAGAATCATCGGTCATATGATGTGTACAACCTGAGTCAAAGACCCAGTAAATCCACAATATACGTGAAGGGCCCGAAGTGGACAAATCTATTGAAGGAGAGACTGAAACAATATTAGGCTACTGAAGAAGCTTCTAAGTTGAACAATAGAGGTTTTGATTGAGAATAAGCGTTATGTGGTGGATTTTGAAGGAAATAGTGGAGAGTTTATTCGCATCACAAAATGAAATCAATTTGGATCTTTTTCTACAGAGGAGGGTTGATATGGTTGAAGGATTCCATTGATTGTGCCTTGCGATAGAATAGTAAGGAAGTGTGTCTTAAAAAACGTAAGGAGAATTCATTTTGTTTATGGATTGAGGTTGAATCTAGTAGGTTTGGTGAAGAATATATGAGGAGGAAGGATGGGATTGATAATACCCAAGGGTGTCACTGGGAGGGGATGTGAAATGTTCAAAAGGTTTTTAGAGAATGTTATACAGGGCAATAGAGGGCAGGAGAATATGAATATTGCCGGCAAGAATAACAGGGGAATGAGTGTTACCACTGGGAGGAAAGTAATTTCTATCAAATGCAACTCTAATAAAAAAGAAATCAGCATTTTTTAGGGAGATGAAGTTCTGTTTAGAGATATTGAAAAATGGAAGTGTTATCGTGTGCATCGAGAATAGTTTATTTCAATCATGGAATCTAATTCAACGTGAATTGGCCAAAATCATAAAGTTTGATGTTAAGTTAAAACCTTTTTAGGCAAATAAAGTTATATTCTTCCGCTCAGATGCTACAAAGGTTGAGGATATTTACAGGAACGAAAAGTGTTTGTTGTCGAACTCTGTTTCTTTAACATTGCAGAGGTGGCAACCAATTGTGCCAAAACAAGGTGTCATTTCTAGGAGGATGGATTGTCATTTTTTTACCAGAGGATTGTCATTCAAGAATTGCCATTTCATATGTGGAATCATGCTGTTTTTAAAATTATAGGCGACTGCTATGGTGGTTTCATTGATGTGGATCATGAACTAAGAACCATGAAATTCTATTTCAGGTGAGAATTCAAGTTCATTAGCCACCTAGTGGATTACTCAAGACCTCTTGGGTTGTTGATTGGACGGAAAATCCTTTTCCCTACAAGTTAGGGTTTTTTCGAATGAGGGGAGATTCAAGCATGATGAACAAGGGCAGTTGGTTGAAGAAGGTAGCACAAACTATGGGTGCACTGGGTGCAAGGTTGAAGACGACAGGGAAAGGGTTGAAGGGGTATGTGTCACAAGGGGAGGGAAGGATGCAAAGAAGGTTCGTATTTATAAGTGTAAACATAACAAGGCAGGAGAATATAGAGAAAAGGCATTAAGTAAAGCATTTAATAGCATTAATTATGCTAATTACCAAGGGAATAGAAAGTTAAGAGGGAATTTGAATTTTAAAAAGGCTCTTGAGCGGGATAATGGGGTGGTTAATGGCATTAATAATGAGTTCCAGTCACGTCCATAAATCAGATGACATCCAGGCCTTTGAATGGGTTTCAAAAGCTGAGGCCAAAAAAGGATGTTGTTGGGCTAAGAGAAATGGGATCCTACTCTTAAAAATGTGGAGCTTCAGTCTGGATTGTTCACGGCCCAAATTACCAGGGGCCCAGAGCCCAGTATCTTTATGTCAAAGGCTGTAATACCTATGGCTATTATTCGTAAAAGCTGTGGAGACGAGGATAAGGGGTGCGATGAAGACGCCGAAGAAAATCTAAGGCGTCCGAATGAGGGGTTCAAATTGAGGGCAAGAAAGGGGAAAAGGGTTGAAACTAATGTCGCGAACAATTTCAATGCCAAGGATTTAAGTGAAGACTGTGCAAATGTCAGAGAAGAGTTCGTCGTTGGAAATTTTGGGTTGGAAGATGATGTACAAGGATGAATGGCTTTGGAAGTGGAGGGAGGTTTCAGTTCCGGCAAAAAAAAAAAAAGCTAAGAAGAAAGGGGAAGGAAGGAGTGTGACAAGGAGAACAGGAAATAGAGTTAAAGATGATAGAGTTATATACTAAAAGCTTATTTTTTGTAGTGAAACTCAGTTTATTATTCAATAAAAGTTTCGTAATTTTCTATTTTAATGAGAATCTGTGTGGGTAAAATATTTTTATTATATTACATATATGGTACGTACGTGTGTCTTTTATTTTACATTACAGATAATATAGCATATAAAATTTGACTTTTGCACAAAAATCAGATTATCAGATCCTTGTATGATATGAGTAAAAATTCACAGTCTTATGAAATTAGACACACCATCAGTAGGATTGTAGTGCAATCTTCTGGAATAGTTTGTCTAGGTCATAGGAGACTACCTAATGCCTTCAATTGTTGCACCAATATACTTTGTGTATTGAACATGACCATTTTTATTATCTTTTTATTGACTAACTAAGAAAATAAATACCCCATGATTATTATAATTACTTGAACTCTTAATCCCGAGATATTTGATGGACACATACATATAATGATTATTACTTTAATTCATCAAAGAGTGAACTTCATATTTGAGTCAATAAACTCGATGACTTTGTAGATCACATTATTTATATAGTGAAAATTAATTATTAAAGAAAACTAAGTCCCAATATTTAAATAGATTGATGATTTCCTCGTGAGGAAGCTTATATCAATTAAATATAATTATCAATAATTTAATTAATTAATGTATATTTATAATCTTAAATGTGGAGAGATTATTAAGTATATAATAATAAGGAACTCGAAATATAATTTTGAGACAAGGCTCAAGAGATCAATAATAAACTTTTAATGGACCAATTTATTATTAATAGACCATAGGATATTTGTTCTAGATTTGACATAAGATTCTTAGGCCCATTGGAAGCCCGGCTCGTATTTCTCCTTACAATCTCTAATATAGCCAGTATATACACTCTTTCTGGTTTTCTCAGCCATTTTTACCTTCACGTTTAAAAGAGACAGAGAGAAAGCGTGCGCAAGAGAGAAAATTCAAAAGATTATAGCCCAGTGTTATTTAAGGCGTAAAGCGAACCGAAGCGACCAAGGCTCCTAACGCCTAGGCGAGAAACGAGAAGCGAAGTGACACGCTTTACCGAAGCAAAGCGAACAGTTAAAAAATATATATATTTTAGTTTAATTACTTCTAAACAATCTAAGTTCTAATTTTATATATACTAAATATTTAAATACAAGTAAAACCATAAACATTTAAATTAAAACAAACACAAATAATATCTCAAATCTTAATAACAGTCATAACTTAAACATTTAAATTCAAACAAATACTAACAATTGTATACATTTTCATATTGATAGGGTAGGACAACAAAAGAAGCAGAATCAGGACAGCAGCAGAATCAGCAACAAAAAAAAGAAGTAGAATGAGGATAAAAAAAAACAGAAGCAGCACAAGACAGCAAAACCGAAGTAGCAACAGAATCAACAAAAAAAAATAGAAGCAGAATGAGCTAAAAAAAAAAAAACAAAAGCACAATGATTATGACAGGAGCAGAATCAATTGTAAACAATTTCATATGTAATTATGTACCGAATAAAAAAAGCAGAACAGAGGCACATTTCACATGTACTAAAATAATTAAACATGGTATAACCATAGACCACTTTTTGGTACCATTTGTATATATATAAGAAAGGGGAAAAGTATAACCAAGACATATCAGAGACACTTCTTTGTAAAAGGCTCTATTATTTACCCCCATTCCTGATACTCCTGCTTCATTTCTTTATCATAATTTTGTCATGCAGTCGCCTGACTCCCACATCTCACAAATATTCTAAATGAATTCAGCAACACAAGGAAAAAAAAAGGAATGTGTTTTGTTCGAAACATTGTTTATTAAAAAAAAAAAAAAATAGACCAACGATAGTCTAAAAAAAAAGTCATTAGTGATTAAAAAATAAATGAGACTACTAACCTGTAATCAAAAAAAAAAAAAAAAAAAAAGGGAAGCAGAATCGCCTCTTATAATAAAGCGATCGCTTTTTCGCTTTTTCTCGCTTTTTTCTCGCTTCGCTAACGTTCGCTTCGCCTGGGGTCCTCCAGGCGAGATAAGCTCACTTCGCCTCGCTTCTCGCCTAGGCGAGCTTTTCAAAACACTGTTACAGCCCAAGCTGCATTTGAGTTTTTGGTGTTGAAGGACATATAGTAGGAGATCATGAGATCCATAGAGCCAATTATTCGATCTGTATCAAGTTTTTGTTTGTGCTGTGACGAGATCAATCTGTCGAAGATAAACCCTAATCCCCCCTTGTAGGGTTAACAATTTTTTTTTTTTTTTGTGTATTTGGTTTATACACAATGTCAATGGATCTTGGGACTCGTGTTCCAACAAAATAATCCACATTCAGGGATCAATTATGAGGGTAGGAATCCTAGGGGTGAGGAGGGAGCTATAGTTTGTTACAAAGATTGTTAGTAGAAATGTAAGAGAATTACGATCATGGAGGATGAGAAATAAAATTAAGGATTTTTTGGTTAGGATTGGGCCTCCTTTTGTTATATTACAAGAAACTAAAGGGCTTTTCGCACTTTGCACCTGAAAGATTTCAAGTTTTTCACTTTGCACCCTCAAAGATTAAATTTCTCACATTGTATTAAAGGTGTTGCAATATGGTCTTTCTGTAAACTTCCGTTATTTTTTTTTTTTGGTCAAAAGTCAACCCATTGACACTAACGAAAAAACTAACGGAAAGCTAATAGATGGGCCACATTGCAATATTTTTAATACATTGAAATCTTTCAGGGTGCAAAGTGAAATTCAACCGAAACTAAATTGGAAATGATCGATAGTGTTTGGGGATCGAGGTTTAAGAATTGACTGTTTATTTCGTCTATACGAAGGTTGGGGGGATTGTCATTATATGGAAAAAAAGGTAGCTAGTGTGGAAGAATCGTTTGAGGGAGAATATACTATATCAATCAAAATAAGACATCGAGTGGGTTTTGATTGGTGGCTCACGGGGGTGTATGGGCTGAATAAACCTAGATTTAGAGCATCTTTGTGAGAGGAGTTAGGTGGGCTGTTTGGTGTATGTAAGCCTAGTGGTATATTGGGGGGAAATTTTAATGTAATTAGATATCCGATGGAAAAGTTAAATGGGGGACGAATCACAAATAGCATGTGAGATTTTGATACATTTATTAGGGGAACTAAACTTAGGGTCCCTTCATTAGCAAACAGTGCTTTCATGTGCTCAAACTTCAAGGATAGGGTGGGCATGTGGCGCTTGGATAGACTTTTGTTCCATGTTGGATGGGAGGATTGTTTCATGGGAGTTAGACAGAAGGTTTTCATTGTCCTATGGCCTTCCAGGAGTTTAGTTTAGGTAGGGTCCTTGTCCATTTAGGTTTGAAAATATGAGGATGGAACAAACAGATTTTAGAAGGAAGATTAGGGAATGGTGGTCCAAAGGTGAAGTTAATGGATGAGAAGGTTTTAAATTCATGAAAAGAAAAAAACTGGAGTTTGTTAAGCAAAAATTGAAAGGTGTGGAATTAAGAGGGTGTTTGGGGATGTTCGTGAAGCTAAGAGAATTATTGAGGGTAGGATTAATGACCTTGATAGATTAGAGGAAGATGGGGGATTGGAAGAAGAGTTGAGAAAGGAAAGTAGGGAGCTTAGGAATAGATATGAGGAGCTGATGCATAAGAAGAAATTAGTTATGAGACAAACGTCAAGGTTAAAATGGGTGAAAGAAGGTGACAATAATTCTAAGTTTTTTCATAGGATACCTAATGGTAATAGGATGAGAAAAGACATTGATAAGTTGGAGCTTGATAATGGTTATATTGTGGAGGATGAAATATTAATTGAGAGGGAAATTGTCAATTTTTTGCAAATCCCTATTCCGCTAATGAGTACACTAGACCTACTTCGGTGGGATTAGATTGGTGCCCCATTGAAGGGAATATTGCTATGTGGTTGGAGAAAACTTTTGATATGGAGGAAATTAAAAGAGCTATCTTTGAATGTAGTAAGGATAAAGCCCCTGGTTCAGTTTTACCATGGCCATTTTTCAAGTTTATTGGGAAGAGAAGAAGGATGATTTGATGTGCATGTTTGGGAGGCTTTAGACCTATAAGCCTTGTTACTAGTTTGTAGAAGATTATTGCCAAGGTTCTTTCTGCTAAGATTACGGAGTGTTTAAGTAAGATTATTTCACTTTCCCAAGGGGCATTTGTGAAAGGCAGACAAATTATGGATGTGGCTTTGGTTGCTAATGAGATTGTTTATGATTATAGAGTTAGGGGTAAGGAAAGAACTGTTTTGAAAATTGGTTTTGAGAAAATTGGTTTGTTTACACATTTTTTGATCAATGATATTATTGTTTCTCATAAAAAAAAAAAAAACTCAGAAAACATCAAGTGAAGACCCCACAAATCAAGGCCCAAACAAAGAAATCAGAAGTTGTGGCCTTCTCAAACAGAGAAACAATGTGACGAGGTTTACTGTGCAAATTCAAGCAACCCAATAAAACAGAGGATGCAAAGTCGAGAATAGAAAGCCCAAAGTCCAACAACTTAACAGTCTGTCTCAACATAAATCAGCAAATTATCAGAATATTGCAACGATGAACAATCAGCGACACCAGCAGGTTTCATGGCAATAGCACAAACAAAGAAATCAGAAGTTGTGGCCTTCTCAAACAGAGAAAACAATGTGAAGAGGTTTACTGTGCAAATTCAAGCAACGCCATAACAGAGGATGCAAAGTCGAGAATAGAAAGCCCAAAGTCCAACAAATTAACAGCCTGTCTCAACATAAATCAGCAAATTATCAGAATATTGCAACGCTGCACAATCAGCAACACCAGCAGGTTTCGTGGCAATAGCTCAAAGCCTCAAACATCAGTGAACCATCAATTACCAGCATACCA